AGCTGGAACTGGACAGGATTTACAGCAACAAGCCAGAACCTTTTTGAAAGGCAGCCAGAGAAAAATTGGCTCTTCTGAATGGAAACATATTGGTGAATCTCGGTGTTCACGATCTTGCACTTCTGCAACGTGTGACTTTTTGTTGTTGGACAGACATTCCGTGTGAGTAAGTGCCTAAGTGACTTCAGATCAACAGATACCAGTGGCATACTTGCCCTTTAGTCCACTCAAAGTAACTTGGACTTTGTGGATGTGGCTGTGGCACTATTAGTGACATGTTATTTAGTCCTGACGCGTTCTGCACATTTCATAAGGCGTGCAAGTGTTTCTGCAGAGCACTGACCCTTGCGGGGAAATGAACTTTTCAAGTGTAGTGCAGACAAGCAGGTGTATCCCTGCTTCATGGTACAGGTAAATGGTACTGGCAGGGCCCTCATCTTTGTTTAGGTGGAGACCTTACTGCTGCTTCTCCTCCCATTCTCAAGATTCAGAAGGTAACACAAAGTTCCAACTACATTGATCTGTTAATTTTAGTGGGAACTGATGCAAGTAATGTCTTAACAGTGTTCTTGCAGATTGTTGAACTTCTCTAGGCCACCCTTCAGTGTATTCCTTGTTAAACAGTTGGGCAAATGCCAGTTGCTTCAGAAAGCTTAAGCTAGGAACAGCCTGGTGTCAGTGGATCTTCTGAGGACTTGGGAGCATCTAATGCAATGTTAGCCTGAGATCTTCTGAAACTCTTCTGAAAATAAGTAGCCAATTCTCCCTTGCAACTCTAATAGGTTATTCAAATGCAAGGGGAATAAGATTACTCACTCCTTTCTGAGTATGAAATGGGCAAAGGGACACCTGTTGTGAGATCTTCTGACACCACAGAACTCTTATCTATAATCTGCTCTCCTTTTCTGGGGCCTACTGACTGCCTTGTGGTTGTCAGCTTCTAAATAATGTCCTCAGGCTTTTTGTAGCAGAAGAAATACCTTATTGCTGGTTTAAGGTGAGGGGACGATGGTCACCACCACCCTCAAGACCAATCATATTCTTGTTTTCTTGGGTTATAATTGGGCCATTGTATGACAGCGGTGGCAGCACATACTGAAGTAGAGTTCTATTTTCCTGTTTCTTCATACAAGTATGTGCTAAGATGGGGGTCATCCTCTCAGTGAGTCAGACATCTCATTCTGAAAATTCTCTGAGGAGGCCAAAGCACCCTCTCTCAGCTGACTTCTGCTTTCAGACACCTTGATCTTCTTTAGGCTCTTCTATTGGGCTGTGCATCTTTGATAGTGGTGTGTATTTCTGTACTCATTCCATCACCTTTCCAACAGGAGCAGCCTTTCTGAGAGCTGTAATACTGTCAAGAAGTGGGGGTAGGCCAGATTGAAGCTGTCAGAGCATGTCTGTGCTGTAACCAGCACGAGTTAGCTGTAAGGCATGATGTGAGATTCTGGCTGGTCACAGCAATCTTTGTTTACAGTTCATTCAGTTACACCTTTCTCTGACGTTCACCCATCCTTGTACAGCAAAGGGGTGTCATTCCCTTTGTCAGTCCCAACCCTGCACGCTTCAAACTGTCACAAATGCTGGTGAATCACTTGGAAAACATTTTGACAAAACTCTGGAAGAAGGTTGGAGCGTGGGATCCGTGCACCTGCATGAGCTTGGATAACAAAACCAGCTTGGCTGTAGCAGTACGGGGATGTCAGCATCCAGCTGTATTTGGGGGAGTAAATTGTTTCACCTGACAAACAGAGCTGACTCTGCCAGACTGTGTGCAGTGCTGCATGGAAAGCTAGTTTGGATATAGCTACACCCCGTGCTCCACGATGCCCGCTACTTCTCTTGTGCCAAAGCTCCCCAGTGTCAAACCTTAACATTTGTCTTAGAACAGCTTAATCCTTTCTTCGTAGGACCAGCAGGAGTGCTCAATACCTGTTACCTGTATTGCTGATTCCATCAATAAATTAAAGCTGAGGAGAATCAACGCGCTTTTAGCCCTCGGCAGAAGTATCACCGAAGCATCTCCTGTTTCAGGTGTTCGCTTGTAGAATTGTGCAGTTGTGAACTGCCAGAGACACGCTCCAGGCATGAGCTCTCTCTGGAAATTCAAATCCACCTATAAACTCACCAGCCCTCACAGTAGGATAAATGCTCTGTTTTCCCTTTGCTTTCTGCCCTTACTTATTTAAATGAAATCATTATTGCCTTTAATATAAGTTAGAGGAAATCTGAGGTGTTCCTGGGGAATGTGGGCTGTAACAGCAGGTACCAGCTGGTACATGAAAGGCTCAGTTCTTCCATTGACAGCTAGTTGCAAAGTGACTACAGGCTTAAAACTTGTCAATAATCTAACTCACATGAAGTCAAAGCTTATGCTGGACTTCCTGTATTGTATTCAAGATGAGCATAAAAGAAAATGCTTTAATAACAAAGTAATAAATCTTAATTGAAGGTAAAAGATATTTTGTTACAAGTGAGTAATGTGTCAGAAAAGCAAAATGGGGTTTAGCACAGCTAGTTCCTATATTTAGCTTCTTAGTAAAAAGTTGCTATTTTCAAAAGCTGTGAAGAGAAATTCACATTGGTTTTGTGCCTCATATAGGGGTATTTTGAAATGAGTATTTCACAAAGAAAATGTATCAATAACAAAGAGCAGATTGCTACATGAACAGCTGAAAACAGTGTAATTGCAGAGTGCTGCGTAAAAGACAATGAAAGTCCCAAATATTTTACTAATTGTTAGCTAGAAATAAGTCTCTGTCCTTGTTTAAGCTGCTGCATAAAGAGTGAAGAATCTTTTGTGACATTTTTGAATACCTAATAATCATACATGTAATAGAGGAGCAAATATCCTTCAAATGAAAGGACAAATGTGGGTATTTGAGGTTCTATGCCAGGTGTTCCTTGGACTTCTGAATTCCGTATGTGTTTGTTTAAATTATGTTCAACTTTGTAATCTGGCTGCAGATGCGTTTTTATCCCAATCCTGTGGATTTTACACTACCCCAGAAGTTCCAGAGAACATAAATCTTGAAGTTTTAATGTAACTCAGTCTGGGAACAGAAAGTGAGCTTTGTACTTCCCTGTCTCCATTGAACTTTCAGCACAAAACCTGCACCCATGTTTCTGTTACAGACAGCATGAAGCTGTTATAGGAACCGTTACACAACAGCTGAAGTTGCATTTCCTTCTGAAATATAACTGTTGCTGGCTTGGAATACTCAAAGCATCAAACAGCACATACTGTTATGCAACAGACCACACGAACATTTGAATAGGTGTTTAAATGTGATATGGGTTATATATCTATATACTTATATACTGGAGAATGTCTTCTAAATGCTCTATTGTCAATTGATTTTAAGTGTATGATGTATTTTCTTTATGGTATCTTTGGAATCCATATCGGTGTTAAGTACAGAAGTGGATATGGAGCTTTAGGTGTATTGGGTTTTATTTCTGATTGGGTTTGCTGAAACTGTCTGTGATTCTCTGCACCAACTGGAGGCTTTTGTGTTTTCTGTAGCATTAAGTTCCATGTGTTGGGTCAGTAAATGTAGGCTGAAGGCCACTTTGTTTTGCTGAACAATGCCAGAAATTACCGACGTGCAGTTTAATGATACCATAGGGTTTAAATGCACCCTTGTGACTTCAAATGTATTTTTACCTATTAAGAAAGATAAAGTATTTCTAAACCAAAACGTTCTCATAGTATCTTTTCCTGACAGAAGGGACTGAGTTATTCCAGCGCCCCAGGGGACTGGTGAATGCTGCACTGTGATTTTGGCCTGCTGCTTTGCAGTAAAGCAGTTGTATTGCTTTAAGAAACCACACTGGAAAAGTGTCATCTTAATACACTTAATGCTTTTTAACGTTAAAGCAATTAATGATGCCATTTATTTAAAGCTTGTAGGGCATTCCCATTGTTCCAGTGACCCAGGAAGGGAAACTTCCCGCTGTGTCAGAAGTGAACAGCGCAGCTGCACACTACTGTTAATGTAGTTTCCAGTTTTCTCTCCAGCTGTGGTGTCTGAAGCAATGTAACAGCATTTGAAGGCTCGTTTTGTGCAAGTCTACAATTATGAGGAATTACATGCTGGAACTTTTGCTTTCCTAATGTAAAATACACATTTATATCTTGGCTTTGACTCAACTGATGTACACGGATTCGCTCCAGGCACTTGATTTCGAGTCCAGCAGGAACAATCCCATGGTTGCGGTGGTGGCACTTGTTGGGGGACTTTGGGAAACAGGGGATAGATGGGGGGGGGGGGGGGGGGGGGCAACCTAAAGCCGTGCGCAGGGTCCACGCAACCAGCGTTACCTTTCACGTACACTCCTTAGATTCAGAGGCAGATCTTGAAGTTGAGCGCTCGTTTAAACCCCCCCTCCCTGCCGCCGGTCGCCATTAACTCATCTGGAAACGGCTTCCCCCGGCGCTGAACCCGAGCGCTCCTGTGCTGCCCTCCGCCTTCCCCTCTCCTTATCCCGCTCCCCGGGGACCGGCCCCGTCCTGCGCTCCCTCCGCTTCAGACCCTTCCCACGAGCGCGGCGCTGCCACCAGAACGCGCCTCTGCTTTCTCGGAGCACAGCCGAGGCGCACGGAGCAGCTCCGCGGCCCCACCGCCCTCCACTTGCCCCGAACCGGGCTCCGCTCCCTCGGGGCCTCGCTCCCGCCGCCCTGCACTGAAGGGCCCGCGGAGGAACCGCGGGTGCCGGCCCCGTGCAGCGGCCGGGCCCCGGCTCCCCTGCGCCTCCATCTTGGCAGGCAGGCGGGCGCCGCGCGGGGCACGCCGGGAGCTGTAGTCCCCCCGCCCCCTGCCGGGCTGCGGTTCTTTCGCAGGCACGCCGGGACCTGTAGTCGCCGCAAAGGAGGCGGTGCTGCCAGCCGGCCCCTGCGCCCATTGGCTGAGAGCTCAAGGAGGGCGGTGCCCGCGGGGGCTCGGCGGCGCTCGATTGGCTATTTGCCTGCCCAGCCTCCCCGCCGCGGTGCCGTCACTTCCTCCCCGGCCGGAGCTGGCCCCGCTCATTCTCTTTAGTGTTTGCCCTGTGCCCGCCGCCTCCCTCCGCTGCCGCGGTCGCCCCCGGCCCCCCCCCCCCCGGGACCCGGCCCATGGACTGAGCCGCCCGCTGGCCCGCACCGCCCGCCGGCCCGGGAGCCGCAGCCCAGGCAGCCAGGTGAGGGGGGGGGGCGGCCCGGGCTCCCCCCCCCGGCGCCGAGGCGGCGGGGCGGGGGGTGGCGGCGGTGGGGCCTAGCGGGGGCCGAGCCGAGCCGAGCCGGCGGGGCTGTGGGGAGGGGGCAGCCCCGCGGAGAGAGGGAGACCTCCCCCCCCCCCGCGCCCCGCTCCGCCCCTCCCGCCGCCGCTGCTCCGGCCCCGCCCGGGGCTTTGCCCATCTCCTGGGGGGGGAGGAGGGGGGGGGTGGCGGGGCAGCCCCCGGCCCTGTCCCCTTCGGCCGGCGGGGCCCGGCGCGGGGGGAGCGGGGCAGGTTGCGGCGGGGGAGCCGCGGGGCCGGCCCCGCTGAGCCTCGATGGGGCCGCTAGTGGGGGCAGCGCGGGTCCCCGCCCGCCATCCGAGTCCGAGCGGCCGCGGCGGCCCCGGCCCCTGGGGCGAGTGGAGGGGGCCGCAGGTGGCGGGGCCGGCCCCGGCGAGGGGGGTGACGGCGGCGGTGTGGGCCCCCCGGGCGCTGTGGGACGGGGCAGGGGCTGTACCCGGTGCCCCGGGCAGGTGGTGCCGGCAGTCCTGCTCTGCCCGGTGTGCCCGTTTCAGCTCGGAGGGTGACAGTGGCGGCTCCGGCCCCGCAGGAGCAGGGGTTGGTGCCCGCAGAGCTGGGTCAGGCTCTCTGAACCCCGCGAGAAGGTGGCTGCAGCCGTCCTGCTTCTCCAGGCTGCCCGGAGCGGGTGACAAGTGCCAGGCTGCGGAGTCTCGAGGCACATGATTTTGGTAGCAAAACTCCCGCGGCTGAGCTGTCTGACTGTTCCGATGAGAGGTGTAGGTACGGTGACAACAGCAGGAGACACCCCCACCCTGCAGAGCTTACAGTGCAAACACTGAGACAGCTGGCATTAGCAGCCTTAGCTCGCTTTCTGAACACTGGCATCATCCCACTTTCTCCTTGTTGCCCACTGGGCTCGGCAGCCATTGCTGCACAGGGCTCACTTGGCACTGTTTTTTGAGCACAACACGAGTTTTTCAGGAGATGGAACAGCAACAAGTTCCTTTTAAATCTTTCCACTGCTTCTGCCTGTCCTAGAGGGGGTATACAGGGATTGGTGTGGTTGGGTTATCCGTGTAGGTGATACTACAGCCGGTCATGTTGACAGCCAGTTCTCTGGTGTATTCATAGGTTTAAGGGAAATCTGGGAGGAGCATCATCTGGAATGTAAATGAAGGCTAGGTGTATGTATAGCAGCGCAATAAAATATCTGAATGAAGTCCTTTGTCTGCTTTCGGAACAGTAGATTTATAAAGTCTTCCAGCCAGGCCATGCAAGTGTGCTCTGTTGTTCCCGTGCTCCAACGGCCCTAAATGTATTTTTCTTTAATACCACTGACCATCAAACTTGAGCTTTAATGCTGCAGCTGTAGCTGTGAGGTAGTGAAGTGATCTCTGGTTTATCTGCCCATCATCTCATGTAGGTGACAAATCTATGGTCACGCTTAAAGAGGTGAAAATTTAAAGGGCCAACGGGCTGAATGTTTTACTGTATTTTTGATTTTCTGGTGTTGCCTCAGAATCTCACCTCAAAACTGGCTTTAAAGGATCCATGCCAGATATGCTTCTTTTATTATTATTGTAAGCAGCCACTTTTCCTTTGTTTGACATTTTCCATGCCATTTATCACTAATTATCCTTTCAGTATCAGTATTAGGTGCTTTGTGGCAAAATTAAAGTGCTCATAGGTTGAAATACATTTGAGGTGATCTAACTGCACAGTCAGAGCAAAGCTAAAATCTGCCTCTCGCGCCTTGCTGAAGAACAGTAACTTTGTTGGAGGATATAGGAACTTTCAAAACAGATGGAATTGCTTTGGCTAGAGCCCTTGCCAAGGGGTCGATGATTTTATTGGGATTCTTGAAGATGCAACTGCAACAATAGAGTTGATCCATGCACTGATTGCCCTGGTAGCTGTGAGCAGTAGCTTTGTGACCTCTTCTGCAGCAGGAATAAACCTTAACTCATGAAGTATGTTGTCACAGTAGTAACTAATTCAGCTCGAAGTAAACACTGAAGCCTTTATCTTTATTCATGATTGACTTACCACTTTCTGGTTTCATAGTTTGCATCATGTTTGGAGCTGTTTTGTGTGTGTATCTGTTAGTTCCCTCTTTCCCTTCAGATTTTACTTTCAAATTTTAGCTTTTCATTACCCGTTTGTATTAATAATGTCTTAGCTCCCCAATTAATTTGCTTAATATTTAGTGTTTCCACCCGTCGAAATTCATCTTACCAGTACTTGAAAAGATCATCTGTATCTACAGTGGTTGTTGCCTTTGAGGTGTACCTTGTCTTGCCCAAATATTGTACAAAAAGATTTCTCTAGGAAGAAAGCATTATTCAGCTGGTGCTTTGTGTGTAAATAGCCTCAAGTCTGTAAGATCTGTAGTCTTTTTCTCTGGGTTGGTAGTGACTATTTATTCAGTCTTTCCAAATGTAAATAGTTTGATGATGTTCTTAAACACTGTTGTAGCAGTCAAACACTTTACAATTTAACGCTATATATCACAAAGCTACCACTGATGGGGGGTTTTGAGGGTATATTGGGAAAGAAACCATCTCAACAAGCTGCCTAGGATTTGTGGAAATCTGTTCTTCATGCTCCAAAATGGTCAGAGTGGGACAAAAGAGACTCAGCCACCACATTTGAATTATTTAAAACCCCTTTTAAAAAGGGAGGGGAGAGGGAATCTCTACCCAATCCTTTATGTGGGTGATGAATGCTCTGTAGTATTCCCCAGCCTGCAGACAACAGGTGAAACTGTTGCTGCTGAATAGAGGGTCTGTCTTTGCCATGGCTGTAAATTCTGATTTGAGCTGGGGGGGCTGGCCTCTGACGGACCAGCTCAGCAGATTGTTCCTGCGTGGCAGACAAGCGCTGTCGTGATGCTCAGATGAGGGTTGCTTGATCCTGAGTGGCAATACAGCTACAGGAGTGTAAAAATACAGGTGACAAAGGGATTAATGAGTAAATGTTGTGCATTCCAGTGTTTGTTTAGGTATATCAGTTCTGCCTGGCTCCCACCTCAGATCGCTAAATCCTTTTGCCCTGGTTGGGGTTTGTGCTCTAGTTGCTCATCTGTGAAATAGGAATAAATGAACTTCCCTTCTTTGGGAGCAGAGTTTGTTGATGCAGAGCAATTAATCTTCCTGGTTCTGTGAGTGAAGGGTCAGTAACTGTTCAGATGCACTGCGTTGTGAGGAATCTACTTTTCAGAAAGAAATCAATGCTTAATTTAAAACCTCATTTCCTATAGCTAAAACTTTCTCTTGGTTATTATGGCATGATTTTTAGTTGGTGGTGTCATGAAGTCCTTGTAATTTGAACCTTGATGGGTTTATCAGGTATCTGTTCTGTTTCCCATTCTGTTCTGTTCTCGTTCTGTAAAAAGCCCTCCCTCCTTGGTGCAGTTGAGTCATGAATGAATGCAGAGGAGGTTTTAAATGGGGTACGTCCATGTTTGTAACAAGTAGCATAATGAGAAGGTCATAACTTCCATCCTTCCGAACCTGCGTCTCCTGAGGAATATTAGGAGTTATTATAACCTTTCCATATTCTGGTCCTGACAACGAATAAAACCTATATAACAGAATCGTCAGGGTTGGAAGGGACCTCTGGAGATCATCCAGTTCAAAACCCCTTCCAAGGCAGGGCTACCTAGAGCAGGTTACACAGGAACATGTCCAGGTGGCTTTGGAATGTCTCCAGGATATATTTCTTTGAGGATTTAGTCTCTTTTGTATTTTCAAGTGGTTTATCAGGGTTCAGAGCAATTCTGTGGTAGGACCCACGTGAGAGCCCCTTTTTACCAAACCTTTGGCTTAACAACAAGGCCATTGTCTTCCTCTGGTCAAAGACAGAAACGTGCTGTTACAGTCAGGTGCACAAAAGTGTGTTCAGAGCCATGGGAATCTGGGATAGGAGGGACTGGAGGGAATGACGCAGCCCATCCCTCTGCGGGGTCAGGTATGCCAGCCTCCTTCTAAATAGATATTTATCAATTACTTAAAGTTTGCCAACAATGAAGTCACCTCTGTCGCCCAAAGCAATATGGTTTATTGCAACCATTACTATCGGAAAGCATTTTCTTGATGCACTTTTAAGCCTCTTGCCTCTAATTCTGTCACTTTAAGCATGAAGAACAGATTATTCCTTTCCACTCCAGAAACCTTTTACGTGCTTGAAGGCTGTTGGTTGTCAGGCCCCAGCTGCCTTCTCTTCAGCACACACAAGGCCAAATCCTTTCTTTTTTCTTAAAGGTTATGTTTTTCTAAAGCTGAGTGTCTTGTGCTTTTCCTACTTTGTTTTTGCTAACTGGGTCCACATCTATCTTGACGCGTGGTACTTGTGTGGATGCAGTGCTCCTGCTGAGGGCTCGGTAACGCTGAGTGCAGAGTAGGAGGACTTCTGCAGGTATCTCTCAGGTTGTTTTCCATTTCTGCATCTCAGTGTGCTGATGACTTTTCCTAAAAGAGCTTGTGTTAGGTAATGGTGTTATGTTGGTTGCAGCTCTTCTCCCACCCCACTGGTGTCAGTGCTTTTTCTGTGCTGTGTTTGATCTGCAGACAGCACCTGCCCAGAACCTTGTACTTGTTCCTGCTGTGGTCAAGTGACTCATTCTTGAGCCTGTTTTAACCTCCAGAGATGGCTGGAGAACATGCAGTTGTCTGTACAACTTGGGTTTTGATTCTGCCTGGGGAACATTATCTATTGCCTTACTTTCCTGGTGTTTAATTAAGCCTCCAGAAAGACTTGGAGGAGAAAAGTTGAACTGATAGGACTGTAATCCTCACGTCTTCCTTCTTCACTCTCCTGTTAAACAATTAGGCACCGTGTTTGCCTTTTCCAGGCTGTGTCCTCATCTGTTCTTCAGGACTCTTCCAAGATAACTGCTTATAGCTCTAAGGTTCCTTGTAGGATTTTGAAATGTCTGAAGTAAATTCAAGAACTTGGTTGTCTGTGTTCTAACCTTAATCAAGACTAAATCTTGCCCATGATACTGGTAGCAATGTTGCTAGCATCTTTGCGCAGTTGGCTTTAGTCATGGGAAAGAAGGATTAAACACTTTGTGCTATATTTGTAAGCAGAATAAAATACATTTTGATTTCCATTTAGAGCAGTCCATGCAGTGACAGGTTTCATACTCAGTACTGAAACAGCTTTATTCTAAAACAGTTTTAACTAGGTTGATTTCTTTTTATATGCCTGTTTATGAGTGAAATCATTAGACTGGAAATGTAGCCAGAAGGTAGAATTTGTATCAGGTTTTTGCAGTTAATAGCTGCCAGAGTTTCTCAGGTTGGTGGCTTGCTTTTGGTTTGGCTGCGTGAATTACAGTCTGGGTCTGATTTCAGTTGCTGATCTCTAGGGCTGTTAGGAAGAGGTTTAACTTCAACACAACTGGAAGCCTTACTACAGAAAGGAAATTGGCCAGCGACTCTTACAGTCCTGCAAAGAGCCCTATGTGAGATTGCACTGCTTGTGTAAGAAAAATCACTTGGGTTTGAGGGGAAAAAGCAAGGAAAGATGATTCTTAGATCAGGTTGGAATTTCTGCTTGGAAAAAAACAGTTTCTTTGAGCGGTCTGTCAGTAAGAGTTTAATGGTCAGACAAATTCTTGTCATCCAAATGGATGAGGCAAACTGCATGTAGTGGTGAGACATTGATACAGAAGATCTTTTTTTGTAGCTTTAGGAAGCAAAATGCTAACTCTCTGTTTTTCCTTTTAGGCAATCTACATCATAAATATCCTATCAGAACTAAATCCAAATCTGCACTCTCTGGATCTCCTAAAGGTACAGGAAACTTACTTAACATTAAAGTTTCTTACCTTTCATTTGCATCGTATTAAATAAACCACGAGTTGTGGTAAAACATGATTATCCACAGGAAGTGTCTGGTTTTTGTTTGATCCTCTGGCTTCTATCTGCAACACCTTTGAGAACTATAACACAAAGAAGCCCCAAGAGAACTTTTATCTGACAATGCTAGATTCTTGCTTTTATGGAGGAAGATTTTACTTTTGGCTGAGTGGACGCAGGCGATGTTCACATCTCTGTGTATTTCTTTGCTTGCCTTTTGGTTACCTTAATGACTTCCAAACTTTGCATTTTAATGTATTCAACATTTCTGGGAATGTTCCAGGCAGTGCTGTGCCAGAAGAAAATAGAAATGTAAAAACTGGAGTGGGGAACAGTGCTCTGTCGTCTGAAAATCCATCTCTGAGGTTGTTACCGTCCATAGGTCATTGAGTTGTTTGATGTAGTCATTACCATCATGAGGATAATGCTCTAGTGCAACGCTGTCTCAGTAAAATTTAAAGTATTAACATCTGAGTTAGCAAAAAATAAGTGTGGAAGGGTGGGAAAGGAGCAGGTTATGTGATTAGTTGCTGGCAAAGATGCTGTGAGTAGAACATTTGTTTGCTCACCTATCTTTCAATGTTTGTGAGTGGTTTTAAGTTCCAGCCATTCTTTGTGTGTTGTATAGGGGTCACTTACCTGTACTATTGTTTGTCTTGTTAAATTTGAATTGACTAACCCCAATTACATGGAAAAATCACCTGAAGTTCTGGCATCTCTATTTCTGTATCCACTGAAACAGCCTTTAGAAGTTGATAGTCTCAGCTTTCTAGATAATGGTACTTTTTTCTTGGATAGTTAGGATTTTGTAAGCCTGTTATAGGGTAGAAGGCCTGTTACTTTAGAAAAGCACTGTAAACCCAAAATAGAATCCTCAAATGACCTATAATTAAATGTTCAACGATGGACTATTCTTGTGTCCTAGTGAAATACTTCACACGAGTCAACTACAGCATTGTAAACTTCACAGGTAGCTGAAAAAATACAGACATCATTCCTGTTTGTTTTGTCAGCCTGTTCTTTGAAGATGCTTGTTAAAGTATGAGCTGAACGTTTTAAAAAAGCAAACATATATTTGTGCAAGGTATAATCTTTTAAGTTACTGTGTAGTGTGTAAAATACTCAGAAATTTGTAAAGTGGAATCTCAGCAATTCACAAGATGCTTTTAATGCCTACTCTGTTTTGGTTCCTCCTGAATTTAGTCTAACGAACTCTGAAGTAGTTCTGAATTGCTGATTACTTGCAGGATGTAGATTCAACTTTTGATATGAATATAAAACATGTGAGATCCGTGAAGGAGAGAGAAACATAATGATGATGTAGCAGCAATTTATGTAGAAATGATACAGCAGTTTATGAAGAAACAAGCATTATATTTGCTTAGGTTAAAAATGATACCTTTGTTGGGAAAGTTTTATTTTCATTGCATCGGCTCTTTCCCTGACAATAACTTTCTCTTCAGCTGTGCATGGCCAAGTTCTCAGCTACTTGAATGTCTTGGGGATAAAACCTGGACAGCAATGTGTTCTACAGGTTTCAGATTAACATTTCAAGTAAAGATGTAGCTTACCAATTCCCTGCAATTTCCTTTTGGTTAGGCATTGCAGCTTATCTTTCCTCCACCTTTAGAAACAGTCATGGAAAGGAGCACTCCCAAGATCTTGAGTGCATGTTTTCTTTCTTGATAAATTAATGGCTCCAGAGGCCACATTACAAATACAGCAATTTTGGTTATGAAATCATGGTTACATTTATAGTTGCAAAGCATTCTGCAAAGAAACATGGGTGGGATTGTTACTGCCTTACAGATGCGTACAGTGAGCTGAGCTTAAACTCTTCATACTTGGTTCCTTGTCAGGCTGAAAGTCTTTTGGATTCCCGGCAGATACATGAGGGCTGAACTCTTCAGTTTGAGGAAGGGCTGTGGAGGGCACATGGTGGATTCCAGTGAGGTGTACTTCAAACACTTTCCTAGGTCTGTCCTTGTCTGTTTAGCTGTGACCAAGCAGCCGGACTGCTGAAGAAGCGGGTGATTGGTTTGTGTGTTGAGAATAAGCAGGTTACGAGCTATGGATGTTTCTGTAGCAGTGTTTTTTGGTCTGCTTGTCTAATGTGCAGTGCTGAAGTCTGTTTGAAATGGGATCAATTTCCAAAACTTTACTGTTTCAAGCACTTGGATGTGACCTCAAGTCTCCACAGATTTTTGTGACTAATAGCTGACTTGTCTGTCCTGAGTATTATTCTAACCAGAGGTGTTTAAAGAAAAGCTTTTCTAGGCTGAACACTGATGGCTGTAACTCTTGATGGAGAGAAAGCTGGGTAGAGAGGGGTCTGAGCTGTACTGCTGAGGTTCCATAGTGCTCTGCTGTAAATATGGAAAGTGAACTAATAATATCCTTGTCAGTGGCTTCCCTTCTGGGGGGAGAAAATTTACCAGGGATTGGTATGTTGTTCTCTGCATTGTATGACTAGAAAACCAATTTAATGTATTCATTGTGGAGCAGAAATTCCATGTTCTGTAAAACCAGGCGATGGCAAGTAAATGAAGGATAATGCCTTGCTTTAACAGCAGAGTTCTGGCTGGCAGAGTCTTCGGAAAAGGATTTCAGGCTTCCTTTCCAGCCTGATCTGAAAGATCCTGAAGTTACTGACTTCAAAATAAAAACTTTTGGTGTCATCTTCTCAAAACATTTGGGTTCGAAACTGTTTAACTTCAATTACTGTGAAGGGCTTTGCAGTTCAGCACAAAAGGGAAATTAGCTTTTTTTATTGCATGGGAAGACTTTATAGTCTTTTCTAGGCAATTATTATTGTTGTATTATGTTTGAAATTTTTCAGCATTTCTGGTGATGCTCCTGGGAATGAAACGTGGGGATTATAAAATTATTACCCTGGAGTCTTATTCTACATCCTTCTCATCTTTGTCTTAACACTTCTTGGAGTTCCTTTAGATTGACTCCCTAATACCATTTTCACAGTTACAGTGCACCCAACGTGTAATTTCTGCAAATTTAGTAGTCAAATATAGGATAGGATTTGTTTTGAGTATAATCTACATACAGGTCTTCTGAACTAACGAGATCTGAACTGATTTTGTGCTCTAGCACAGAGTTACCCAACCAGTAGTAAGATAAGCCTGACATGTTCATGATGGTTTTTTCAAAGTAAAAATATTCTAAATGGTAGATCTCTTGGTGTATCCATTGTTTCCCTCTGGCTTCTTTCTTCTTAACACATAAATACATTGATCTTCGTATCCATGAATGTATTAGCCTAGGTTCTCCTCTTAGGTTTGTTTTGTCAGTAACTAGCTAAAAGCTTCTCTCTGACTCATTGCTGCTCCTCTTACATTTGGAAGTCCATTCACAGGTTCAGAATTTGAAGCTTACAGAGCACTAGTGGAGTTGTGTTGCTACTAATAGCTCCCTGGTGGTATCTGGAGCAGTGATTTCTGCTTCCCATCTATAAATTATGAGAACAAACCTTTGTTTGCAGCCCCAATAAAACCTGTCAGTGACCAGTGCGTGTGTGTGCACAAGGGGGTGTGTTTGTGTGTGAAATGTACTTACTTGGCTGTAAAATTTATTTTTAATAAATACATGGATACGTGGATCGTAAGCGGATATGGGCAGCTGAGCTCTGACAGCCTTCAGAACAGCAACCTGTTAGAGTATATTTAGGTATAACTCTGTGAGCCTGAAGATACTGTTGCATCCATGTGGAAGAGAAATCCAACACTCATTTGTTGGTGGAGGAAGGACCTATCCCAGTACTTCACATTGACTAGTGCAAGTTCATCGCTTGGAGGTGTTTTTCCTTAAATGAACATAGATGCCTATGAGCAAATCCAGCTCTTGCTTATGGTGTTGAGGCCAAATAAATCTAAACTGATGCTTGAACTGTTACTGAGACATGTTCTGGCTTAAATAGAAGTAACCTTCAAGCACACATGTAGCTTCTAAAACTTAGGAACTCTTGCACCTTCACTTTTCCCAGTCATAGGTACTCCAGCATTTTCTGCTGGGTACCACTTGTGCTCCCCACAAAAATGGCTGGGCATTCTTCTTGGTCATCCTGGGGTAAAAAGTACACAATTATAATAAAGGGTTCATGCTCCAAATTGTTGTTTTGTAAAGACTGCATTTACTGCTTGTCCTTCGAAATCAAAATCTTTAACTTCAAATGGTAGATTGCCTAAAATGTAATCTGTTCATGAAAGTTGTTCTTTGTTTAGTATATAAGCTGTGGCTATCAGTTTAAGTACCTGGATTTGTGTTGTAAGTGGATTCAATGATAGGGGAAACAGATGGGTAGTTTTCTTAAATGAACAAGCATAAACAAAGGTTCTGTACTGCTTTTGTAAATGAAAGAAATGTGAAACTTAGATGATAGGGTGTATAGATTGAATATGCTATTAAAACTGGATGCATGACTTACTGCATACAAAATGGAAAGTGGATGCTTGATTGAACACTTCTGCCCCTTTTTGCTGATGGAAGAAATAATTTCAATAGATTGATAGTTAGAGAATGCTGAATATTTAGTATAATTTTTTTTCTTCATGTTTGCATTTTAGGTCAGCAATTTGGCTTCATCACACTGAGTTTGCCTGCATTCAAAGCTGTTTCCCTACAGTAATTTGCTCTGGTTGGAAGTGAACATGTCTCAAGTTCAAATTCAGAATCCTTCTGCTGCCCTTGCAGGGAACCAAATATTGAATAAAACCCCATCTCTTTCACAGCCTTTGAGTATTCCTTCTACTACTAGTTCTTTGCCCTCTGAAAATGCAGGTAGACCTATCCAAAACTCTGCTTTACCCTCTGCGTCAGTTACGTCCACCAATGCAGCTGCAGGTAAGATTGAGTGTCTGTTAATTAAGTTTCTGTATTCTTCGTGTTCATAGTTTGGCATGATACATTCTTGGGGTCCTGCATCTACAGATACTTTAATATTTATCCAAATGCAGTAGCTTGTAATGCTTTCTCCATATTGAATGAAGTCTGTTTGAGACAGATAGAAGCATACTCTTCCATGGAGTACTAATAATCAGCTGAAATGTTTGTAATAGTAAATAATATTTAACATTGTAAAACTGAATTTTTTAAAACACTGCTATCCAGCTTTTCTACAAGTGGCTTGTTTTAAATGTAAAAGAAGTGTTACTTGAAATAGTTTGTTTAGTTCTATCACCTTTAGTTCTTTTATGACCAGTGTAATGAAAAATGTATTGTGCTAATAAAATCTAATAGAGCAAGTAAAAGGTAATAAATAAATAAAAAAATAATAGGGGAAGACAGAAGGAAAAAGAAAGAAATTAGTGTACTTTCTGAAATTACTCAAAGTAAGGATACTTAGAAGATTTGTTTCTTGAAATCTTCTACATAAGATGCAAGCTAAATGCGGGAGTCTTCTAACCGCAGCCTTCTTGCTTGCATTGAAACATTACATTTAAAGATGCTGTCTTTTAGACACATGATTTGCTTGGAAATCTCAGAGTTCAGTAGATAGCTCCCAGATTGCCTAACAGCAAAGCTGTTTATTCCAGCAGATCTTTTCTGAGAAGTGGTGTATTGCAGACAACTAAATTTTAAGCCAATGAGATTTTTTATTATTAAAAAAGTGTAGTAGAGTTCCTAGCTACCTGATCATTCATCTCATTTTGTGTAATCTTTCAGCTCCTTCAAACATGGCAAACCCCAAAGAGAAAACCCCAATGTGTCTTGTGAATGAGTTAGCCCGTTTCAACAAGATTCAGCCTGAGTATAAGCTTTTGAGTGAGCAAGGTCCAGCTCATTCTAAGGTAAATAGTCATAGAAGTTTCTTACTGCTGTTGTTTGTGCTCTTTCAGTTTCATAAGTGGAGAAGGGAAGTATATGTTTTTGGTGCAAGATAATACAGAATAATAGAGAGGAATAGGAAGCTCACCAAAGTATTGATGGTAGGGAAGTGTGAAGCTGGTAGACGTGTACTAAAAGTTTGTTTCTCAAAGTACATAGAGGTTGAATTTACCTGTTACTTAAAGCTATTCAGCTTTTTTGAAGAGTTATTTATGTTAGCTGCATTATGCAATGCCTGGCTTTTGTTTAATAAAGCCAGGTTTGTCCTTTGCACTCTTTACTAAAAAAAAAATGTATTAAATATGGATGATGTTTTACAATCATTTTCTAGTACGATGTTTAGCTTTTGTTTTGCATCTCGCCTGTTATGCAAAATTTCTGTGTTATTCCCGTGGTGCATTTTAATGGTTTGATATTAATCCCACCAATCTTTAAAAGATTAAAATAGTTTATTAGTCCAAATTATCTTGAGATGCAGAAAGTTCTAGGGCAGTTGTGTTTCTTTAGGAAAAAGGCTATATAAGGAATTGTGCTTACTACGTACATTTGTCTATGTAGCTGGCAAGGTACAAATCTGTATTTGTTGATATGTCTGGATTAACTTTTAGTATTTAAGAGTTGTTCTCTCTTGTGCACATCATAACTGAATGTTGCTTTGCTGTTGCTCTGTTTTGAATAAAAAAGTTGTAAATAAACTGAACCTTTCTATCCTAATTGCCCAATATTTGGGGAACAAGGATCTTAGTATATATTCTTTACTGCCCGAAGTACAGGATGATTGAACAGAATGTTCAAGAACATTCACCTGTTCTGGAACAGTTACTTTAGCAAAATAATCTTTAGTTCTTGCAAGAATGCCAAGGTTAGATCAGCACGTGCTGTTCATTCCATATCATGGTGTATCTTTTACAGTGTGTAAAAAATCTTGGTTATATACAATTCCTCTGGTGTTCTGTTCATATGTAGAGAGAGTTTTTCAGGAATACAGCAAATATACAAGCAGTTTGTGTTAGTTTAAAGAACACTGAGGGAAGTGAGTTTTAGCATTACTAGCCTTTTAAATCCTTACTGAAGAGCTCTGTTGTACGAGAAGTGAGGTCCAGACATATGAGGGAAATCAGCCTGGGATGTGTTTGTCTAATGTGACATTGTCTCTTTAAGGTGTTATCTGGAACAGTGTTTGTTGTATGTTAGATTCCAGTAACTTGGAGTTTAATAATATTAAGAACTAAAATGTGTAATGTCAGTGTCAATGTGCAAAGGAGACAAGGTTTGCATTTAGAAAAAATACTGGTATAACATTCAGAGCAGCTGTCCGTTTGTGTTTTCATTCTGATTGAAATTAAACTTCATTTAATTACCAAGGAGACTTTGGCTTGCTGTTGTCTGATTAATTTATGAAAATTTAGGGCAATAGATATTCTTCCTTACCCCACATACTTAAAAAGTGCCGCAGAGCTTTGCTTGGTAATCAGATAGGCTTGTGCTCACCTGTGGGCATGTAGGAGCTTTTATGCTGCAGTGGGAAGTTATCTTTTTTCAAGCTCCTGAAAAATATAGTGGAAAAAAACCAAACCCAAAGCACATTATTAAAGCAAGAATTGAGTTATGTGGAATACAAAAGTCTGAATTTCAAGGCTGCTGTTCAGAGTAATGCTGGCATGCCAGCTGCCCACGTAGCTGTTACCTCTATGCACACAGTGTCTTTTGTTTCTTAGCCTGTATGATCTCATGCAGGATGCAGGATGGTTGCAAGCTACAACTATTGTGAAATTCTTAGAATCTGGAAAATCCTATTCATGTCCAAGGTGCTTAAAGTCTGGAGACAACGTAGTAGTTGAGGAAAGCTTTGATCACCATATTCTTAATTTTTGCATCACTCAAAGACTCATTGTTTTGTGTAAGAGGGTCTAGTAAGTTATGTGAATTCCAAAGCAGTTCCTAATAAACCTCATGTTTTCTATTTCTGAGGTGTTTACAGTGCAGCTGACCCTTGGGGACCAGCACTGGGAAGCTGAAGGAACTAGTATTAAAAAAGCGCAACATGCGGCAGCTGCCAAAGCTTTGGAAGGGACAAAATTCCCTAAGCCTACAGCTCGTCCATCTCGGAGTGAAGGCAAGAATCCAGGTATGTGCCACAACAAACTTACTTGAAAGAAAGTGCACAGAATAAACCTTTCTGGTTTTGATATATATATATATATATATATATATATATATATATATATATATAGGACTTGCATAAGGATGATTAAACCCAGCAATTCTGCGTATTTAACAATGGCAGTCGTCAAGTTTTCCTGATTTAATCTTTGGTAGTTGTAGGCAACATGATAAAAATCATCATATTAACAAATTAAAGTCATAGGGGTTTTCCATCAAGTCATTCAGGCTTGAAGAACCCACTGCTTAGCTTACTGTTTTGTATTGTAACACTTGCTGAAACCCTGGAAAAGATGTTTATCCTCATCTTAAAAAACCCTAAACCGTAAGTACAAACAAACCAACCAGCCACACATGACAGATTTGGTCACAGCAAGGAATAATCTTTCGCACAGGCAGAAGAATGTGTTTAGTGATTCTGATATGATCATTTAAGAGCAAACCCAATACAAACAAACCAACCAACCCAGCAAAACCCCAACCTCTTAAATTTCTGTTGAGGGATTGGATCAGATTGGAATTTACTTCATTTATACCTCTTTAAAGAGGCATAGATGTTGATTTGGATAAGGGCATTTAAATTGTAGTTTACTGTGTTGAGGGAACTTCTTAGGTTACTGAGATTGCTTTCAAGATATATTTAAAATGTAAAATTTAGTATGAACTAGCTTCACATCTCAGCTGTACATGAGATCATTTTGGATTTACTCATAGTGACTTGAATTCAAAGCTGTTGGGGTAGTATTAGCATGTTCAGCAAAGGTTCAAACCTTTAATCTAGGTTAAAGGTTTGTGTTGTGTTCTGATATTACCTGAATTCTTTCTTTAGAAACACTTTATACAGTCAACAGTGAAAATATTAGAAGTTAGCAATTACTAATTTTGTCTGTGAATCTGTTCCATAATTTCATTTTTGTTTAGCAACTGCCCTACAACAGAGCACTGTTATACTTGAGGACACATGGATTTTTGATCCAGTGAGGCCTGTGATAGAAAAAAATGACCATTTACATGACTGTTCTCTCTCAAATGAGAATAGCCAGGGAGTCAATTCTTCATCCACATGATATCTGCATTGAGAGAAATGTTTCTAGCCCTCGGTGGCAATATACCTTCCATTTGAATAGGCCAGTTGCAATTCAAAAGTGAAGAGTCATAAACCCCCTTCTTAGGTCATAAAGTACAAAGAGAAACATGTGATCATTCTCAGTAAACAACAGACACAGAAGGTATGTAGCGTGTCTGTCAATTTAAACATATTTGGGGGGAAGGAAGTTTCTGTTCTGCAGACCATGTTGTTAGATACCCTCTAAAAACAAATTAATTGGTAGCTTCACAACTTTAAAGCAAAATAAATGAAAAAGCCTCCAGCAAATTCCCTTTTCTGTATCAGTATTTATCACAACTAATACCAGTCTGCTAATTTAATATGCATCAAATAGACTTTTTTCTTTGTGTTCATTAGCATTTCTATTCAGAATTCATTAAGATACTCCATGTGGCAAAACTTGAGCTTATTTTTCCCTGCTTTGAGACAGCATAAGAGTTTAGATTGTTTCAGTTCCTGTGACAGCTGTATCAACTCTATATTCCTTTTTATTTAGACAGTGTAACCCCCACAGTGGAGTTAAATGCACTTTGCATGAAACTGGGAAAGAAACCTATGTACAAACCCATTGATCCTTACACAGGGATGAGATCCACTTACAACTATACTATGAGAGGTGGTACTTATCCTCCACGGTATGTATTGCTTAAGTTTTTGGGTCTGCAGTCTCATTTCCACTCATCATCTGAGTGCTTCGATGCTATCTTCTCAAAATTAGCTAAAAATAGAATGGCCCTTAAGGGGATATTCAGCTTGAAACACAGCCATCTTATGAGGCCAAAGGTTTTGATAAGTACACCCTATTAATATCTGTAATTTGTCTTATTTGTTTTTTTTTCTTTGGGAGTAGGGCAAGAGAAGGAAGAAGAGAACTGAACCAAAGAGCAAAGCTTTTTTGACAGCATTCGGATATAGCCAGCTTCATGAAATAGCTAAATATTAGCTAAATATTTATTGTGTTTCCTTTCTGTGGAAAAGCAAAAGTGAAGGAATCAGTTTTATGCTATTTCTAAAGCTATTTAAAAGAAAGCTTCTGTTTAAAGAATTTTATATGGGCATAGGAATTGAGAATTCCAAACTCACTGGCCTGCCAAACCTATAAAAGCGTGGTTACATTGTCTTTCTCTGTTCTAGTTGGTTAAACAATTATAAAACAAGAAATGTTGATATTCTGTTTCAGAAATCTCTCCCTAAAGTTTTTTTTTATAGATTTTAAATCAGAATCTGGCTTTTTAATACTTGGGCTTCAGTGCTGAGTCATGGTTACTGATATCTGAGAGATTCATCCACATATAACTTATGTTTCTGTTTACTTTGTAGGCCAAACTCTGTGCTTATTTAAATCCCTCTTTTTGCAGGTACTTTTACCCATTTCCTGTTGGGCCCTTACTTTATCAAGTTGAGCTTTCAATTGGAGGGCAGCAGTTTCATGGGAAAGGAAGAACAAGACAAGCTGCTAAACATGACGCAGCTGCTAAAGCACTGAAAGTTCTGCAGAATGAGCCCTTGCCTGAGAAACCAGAGGTGGGAATTAATCTTAGCGTTGTAAGCATAAACTTCTCAGATAAACTGAGATACTGTTGTAGGGGTTTTTTCCTTATTAAGAAGAAAAGGACAGTTGTGAAATTTAGTTCTGCTTAGTAATGTTGACCTACTTGTGACAATAGAAACAGTTTGATTTAAAAACATAAATTTTGATGAAACTAAGGTTTTTCTAAATGAATTTATGTTAATTATTTTGCTGTTATTTTTTTCTACAGTAATGCTATAGACCTCTGTCAGATATGTTAGCGCTCTGTCAGAGCACTGGAAGCATAGATAGGAACTAATTTCTTATCAGGTGCAGATCACATACAACCTTCTGAAAAAGTATGTAAATGGGGTGCTTGCGTTCTAGTATAGGCAACCTAGAAATCGCGCATAGGTTTGCTTCCTGGGCAAAATTCCTGTGTGATTTTTTGAAAGAACCATGGAAATTCTAGAAGAGAGGGAATTTCATGGAAGTAATAACCTTGTTCACACATTTTAATATGAATATAAGAAACAAATTTTTGTCCCTCAGTATATTTATAGCTGTCCAGCACTTTCCTTCTGAGACCCTGCCACTAGGGGTTTTTCATGCTTTTTTGTTAGGCTGCTTTAGGCAGGTGTCATTGTGCACACACAAGTTACAGCTTCTTGGGCTGGCTGACTCTGTGCAGCCCCTCCCTAGGTGTTGGCTGATTGCTACAAAGAGCGTATTTAGTCTTTCCTTTATGGGCTCATTATACCTGAATTATGAGGGCTTGATGTTAGAACTAAGAGCAAGAGCAAGAGAGCCATTGATGTACTCCATGCTGGCATCTAGATCATGTTGAGGAGGCGGGGGACATACAGTGCAAACCTAGAAGCAAGAGAGACTAGGACACTGCCAGAGAGGGGAGGAGGAAGTGGAGGTCAGACTGGTAACTTACAATCATGAGACTTGCATAGATACAGAGTCTTGGCTGTGTGCTGAGAAAGAAGGAACATGAAGAATTAGGCAAGAAGGTAATAAAGGATCTCAGACTGGGAACAAAAAATACCTGGGAACTACTAGGAATGGTGGAGCAAGAGGATTTAGGAAATGTGTTGTAAAGCCAGGGGACACTGAGTTTAAAACTTCAAAGTGTATTTGTGGGAGGAAGTATTGCTCAGATAATTAAGCCAAAACACTGCATCTTATGGTTCAGGGGAGAGGCCTAGGAGGCATTGATGGTATTGCTTTGGGTAACAGAAAGCTCTCCTTGAGAAATGTAGATTATTGAATGATGGAGGATGCCAAGAGATTACAGATGCTACTGGGAGAAGAGAGTGATGCAGGGAGTAAAAGCTGAAAGAGTGGAGATGAGTTCTGCACTGATACCCAGAACTGGTAATAGGCAGAGTGTGGTCAAAGACAAGCTGGAAGCCTTCATGCAGAAGAAGTCAAACCTGAGGGTGATCCCCAAATTCTTGAGTATTGTCATTCTGTGCCAGTGATGCACAACATCATCTTTTTTGCACTCACCCTTGTAAAAGATATCATACCATCATCAGCCATTTTTTCATCTCGAGTAGCAAAGTTCCACATACTGGACCTAAGGAGTCCAACTGTGAGGAACATAATAGGATCACATGTGACTTTTGTTCACTTTTTTAGAAATGCTTCTGTACAAGTGACTTTCTGAATAGTGGTAGAGTTGTGTTTAAAGTTGAGTAATGTGAGGTCTTCAGAACAAACACTGCGATTGTCTTTGTGACCACGTATCCTTTTCTGTAAGATGTCTCCTTCAGTGTAAGGGGTGTAAAGCAGGAGGAAAAGGAAGAAAACCTATAGAGTCTCTCCTTTTTGTAAGGACATCGTAAGGGAAATACTATTGTGAATGATGCAGGAGATTTGAAGAAGAGAGAATTACTTTATGAAGAAATCAGTTGCCAGCTCACTGGGAGCTGAATGCTGTCTTGACCCTGCTATTTTGCTGAGCAATTCACCTACACTTTCATGAGAAACATGCATTTGTCATTTTACTTTTCTATTTGTTTGACTTGTCTACAAAAAGAACAGTAAGAACTGTAGCTATGCTTAAGGAGAGCAGTCCTTTGAACAGAGAGTACAGTCTGTACTGGGATAAATCAGGTCTTAAATGGCTTTCAAATATTGTAGTTTTAGAAATGACTGAGGGAATTGCTGATTTTGTAACAGCATTTTGCACTAGAGAGGAGGATTCTACTACAGAGCGAGCACTGTTCATTCTTGCATTCAGTGAGGCAAGGTCCTTGAAGGATACAGGAGATGCTATTATAAGGGGTATCTGCAGGGGAGGCAAAGTAGGATTTCAGAAGCAGACACAATCCTTGATGCTTCCTACATGTCATTTGATATTTTCAATAATTTTCCTTTTAAATCTACTTATTTTTGTGTATCCCATTTGTGTGTGTGAACAGAATATGCTTAAGCTTGAACTCTTGTATTTAGGGCAGTATTTTGTGCTTTTTATTTATTTTATTATTTTACAAATTTTTGTATTTACAAGATTTAACTCTTGGATTTTTAAAATAGAATATTCAGTGCTTAATAATGGTTGGACTCAATGATCTTAAAGGTCTTTTCCAACCTAAGTGATTTTATGATTCTAAGAAGAAATCATTGAATAAAATTAGACTCTATGGTAATGTGACCTTTTCCCACACCTTCTGAGACTGCAAATCTAGAAGCAAGTGGCAGGAAAAAAATTAGTAATGTCAGCTCTCAACTAGACAAAGCTCTATCTGAACAACCCAATTGAATTTAAAAGTTTGCTCTGCTTTGAGTGGGAGGTTGTAAGAGACCTCCAACAGACCTTTCCAACCTCAATTAGTCTGACTGGAGTTAAGACACACTGACAAAGTTGCAGAACAGGGTTACTTTGTGTAATCAAAGACAGAGATGATAAATCATCAATTTTAACACTTAGAAAACATAGAAAGCTATGCTTTCTAGTACAATTCTTAGACAGAAATTCTAACTTTTGCCTGAAAATACTAAAACTAGAATTGCTTCTATGTGTTTTGCCAACCTATTTGGTAAATTTCAGCTGCTCTTTATACCCGTAACATGGAAGAAAGCAGCCACACTGACTGCTGTGTTGACATCAGTGTCGTTCTAATCAGAAACTCCAGTGGCTTTCATAATTTGCTTACAAGCAGTCTTTGAGGAAGTGCATGTTGAAGATGTTCCTAGAAGGGCAAATTCCTCTTGAAGGAGTATATTACTTCTGCAGTTTGCTTGGGAGTTTTTGAATCTATCACTTTGTTTCCTTTGGGACTTTTTTTTTTTTTTCACTTGTTAGAGATGGACTTGAACAATTTGATTAGAGCTGAGAGTGGTAAAAGCTTGTATTTGTGGTCTCGTTCCAATTTAGGCCTTGGTGAGTTTAGTGTATGCATACATGCAAACTACTTTGAAAGCAAACTTTATAGGTCATCTGCCTAGAGATGTGCAGGGAAAGAGAAAGAGGGAGAGCATGTGTGTATAGTTAGTTTTGATTTATAAAATAAACTGATCTGGAACTCAAGTAGAGACCTCCAAAGTAGAGGGGTCTACCAAAATAATTGGTAAAATAGCTAAGATCTCTTAAGTGTTATTTTGCGATTGATTTACTTCTTTTACGTAGAGGTATTGAAGAAAAGTACCAGTGTTTTACACCGTGTGAACAGAACTAATATGTCCAGAATGCATACTGTAATACAGTAAAGCATCCCGTACTATTTATTTGTATTCTTTTGAAAAGATATTAAATGGGAAAAACCTAATCCCATAAAAGAAGTCCTCATCAGCTTTGCAAGGAAGAAACATGGCACTTGAAAAAAATAGTATGTATCTGAAATTAGGAGGGGAAAAATACTTGTACTTAAAGTGATTGTGCTAATGTTTTGACAGTAACGGCAGTGAGAGATTATTCCTAGAGATGACAGTGGTAAACTTGCTGTAACACCTAGACCATAATAAGACCTTAGTAGTTCAAATATTTTTTTCTAGGTATATGATGCTATTCCTTTTGAACTTACCAACTGCATTTAAAATAGGCTTTAGAATATGATGCTCAAGACTTTTGACTCCTGTGTTCAGTCTTGGTTTTTACGTGCATTGTGCCTTCTGCTGAGGTATAGTATGGTTCCTCCAGTGTAGATGTTGCCTCCTCGTTTCTCATGCAGTCACAGTGCACCTACCTTGCTCCCATGGGAGTGGTGCCATCGTGTGGTCTGTATTCAGAGACCCGAAGATCGCCCTAAGTACACCTCCACAGAGAGTTTGGAGACTGGATGTAGTAGTGGGATTAGAAGTATTAGATGTTATCTTTGTTATCTTTGTATTATTAGTATTAGATGTTATCTTTTGTTATCTTTGTGCTCTTCCGAAACGGTTGCATCTCGAACCTGAAATACAAGGTCAATCCATAAGTATAGTGTAGAACCTGATGGGACAGTGGGAGGAGTAAAAAACACAGATTGATTTTATTAATACTTCTGTCTGAGATGGGAAGAGGCTGCTTTAAGTGTTGGAAAAAAAAATTCCTTCATGTTTTAATCTAATTTGTCTGTAACAGACATTGGGGATGCTTGCTACCATCAAAACTAGTTTCAGTCAATGAGAGCTCTCTAGCCTATTTCTGCTGCTCCAATAAAATACTTGAATCATTTTTATTACCTGGTTGCATAACTAGTGTTGTGGCGTGATATAATTGGTGAAATTGTTGCTGTTCATCTTTATCATAATCTTTCCAATATCACTGCTTAGACACAGTCTGAAAATTCCTCTGTTGCTGTTACCACACCTCTTAGTTCATGTCCCAACATCAGTGAAAACATTTTTGGAATCACAATCAGAATTTTACCTGGAGATATGTAGAAGTGCCTGTAGGTAAGCTTCAGCTGGCAAGGCTGGCCTCCTAGCATGTGTAAGTTTCAGAGATGTACACCATTTGATTTAAGGCAAGTTCCCGATAGTATGTTCTTTAAATGAGCAAGAAGTCTGTAGATGAAGCACTTGCAAGGGAACATGTTAAAGACAGAACTGTGCCAGGATCTAATTAGCCATCCTTCATTCACGTTGGTCCCATTCTCAGAATTCTTTTTTTTTTTTCCTGCCCTTTCTCTTATCTGATACTGTCTTAGTGCTTTTGGTACAAATGTCCAATCAGTATATGAAAATTGCATTTCATAAAGGTACTTCCATCTGGAAATCAGTTCATTTAACACATCAGTTTGTTTTACTTAGAAATAGATTTTTATATTGGCCCATATGCCATTTGTTCTTTCCTGTAACGAGCACATGAAAATATGAAGGTTTGCTAGCTTTTACACATACACCTTGAATGAGCTTCCTAAGTTTCAGTTCCATAGTGTGTGTGCTGCATTTCTACACATTCACGTAAAATGGCAGTAAAGGTTAGACTACTTAAAATTTTGGAGAGCTCAGTAAACTGGTTGGATTGATAAAATTCAATTTAATAGGATCTTTATTTTAAATAGAGTATGCTTCTTTTAGGTTAACGGAAAAGAACCAGATGATGAAAATCTCAATAAATCTGAAATAAGCCAAGTTTTTGAGATTGCACTTAAAAGGAACTTGCCTGTGAATTTTGAGGTATGTTTACTTTACAAGCTCTAGATTTGTTTTTGTTAGAATATTAAGGGTACACATTAAGTTGAGTATCTTCTAGATAATCCAAACAACTGACTTTTAACATGTCTTGTTAGTTGTGAATACACTTTTACCTTTGACAGTCACACTGATTGTCTTGGGGTTTATATGGTAAAGTGAAGTAAAAAGAAAAACTCACCTGTTCACAAATTCATGCCCTAAAGCCATTCCATGAGTGAACAGCTTACGCTGTGGTTGTCTGTGCAATCTTTTTTCCAAGCTTTTTGAAAAATCAATATTCCAGTGAAGAAACAGAACAGCACTCCACATTAATGGTTATAACATTGAAGTGCAGAGTCAAGGCAAACAAGGATAGCTCACTCAAAAAGACATTTATGGAAGTATTTGCTTAATTAAGCACTGATATGGACTACACACAAGGTGCAGAATCTCACAAATAGGTTTCTTTTCTTGCCATGAGGTGACCTCATGTGCATCTTTCCTTTCCCTTTGGCCTGGCTGCTTGCTGCCTCTTTGCCCCTCCCTGATCATGGTAGTTATCTTAAATCAATAGCTTCCATAGGAGCATCTCTCTTTCACTAAAGTATTACTTTATCATGCTGCTTTCCTGAGCTGGCAGAGTAATATTTAAGTCAACTATCTGAATTATTATAGTAAGAAAATGCAATTGTGTGTAACTAAATTGCTTCTAAAACCATTCTATGAAATTTTACATGAAGCTTTCAATTATTGCAGATTAGCTTGAGGATCACTGGTAAAAACATACTGTCACACAAAGCCAGTTGTGGGTGGAAGTTCTTAATCGATTTTTACTTTTTGACTTTATAATTATTTTGAAGTAGGATGTGTTGTTATGAATGGAGTTAAAAGACTGAATCTGTAGTAGGCATCTATCTCTTAGATGTCTCCAGAGTTGCTGGTTTCTGAACTAAAATGCTAGATCCTATAGAATTGCATCCTCTGTAATGTTCCATTACCACAAGATGGTATATTTAATGAGGTGATGTTAACTCTGTGAAAGTACGTGCTGATGAGATAGAAGTCACATCTTAATACTGAAGGAGTAAATCAGTAAATTAAATGAGATGGGTTAATGACTTACATGTAAATACTGTTTACTGCTTGCTGCATCTGATCTTTTTAAAGTATCTGTTTATTTGGGTGGGATTAGGTTATTAGAGTGCGTGTGATTTACATGTTTACTTTATGGATTGTATGAGAATCTAAAATGTCATTATCTGTAGTTCTTGAGAGAAGTTTGCTATAAACAATGTGCCCTACCATTTTTAATAAGTGTTTATCACGCTTTCACTCAGTTTTTCCCTCTGAAACAGGTGACCAAGGAAAGTGGTCCTCCCCATATGAAGAGCTTTGTAACCAAGGTGTCAGTTGGAGAGTTCATGGGTGAAGGTGAAGGAAAGAGCAAGAAGATTTCAAAGAAAAATGCTGCAATAGCGGTCCTAGAAGAACTGAAGAAATTGCCACCTCTTCCTACAGTTGAGAAAATGAAGCCACGAATCAAAAAGAAAACAAAATCAATAGTGAAGGTAAGAGACAAACAGGTTGGAAATCTGCCTGTTATAAATAATCAGCAGTTGAGAGGAGTTTCTGAGTTAATTATAAACACTCTTCAACTGCTCAGCGTTAATCAGCAGTCTGGTACTACAAATGAAATGATATTTTGCTCCCACTCTAAATAGGGTTATGACACCACCTTTACAACAGTTACCAGTAAATTCAGAATGGAAGACAAACCTTATAAAACAATGAGTGGCACATAAAAATCAAGCTCTGACTTTCAAGCCTTAGACATTAACAGTTTTGGGTTTTGCACCCTATTGCTTGTGCAAATTCTCCTGCAAGTCTGTCCTTTCCCATATAGCAGGATTCAAACTTGTAAAACTGTTAACAGTGGTAGGTTAAATGTGGTCAGCTGTAACAGCAGAGCCAAATAAATTGAGTGTTTCTCTTTGGCTGCGCCAGTGTTTCATTAAGCAACTGTTATTGCAGAGTTTTTATGTTCTAGAGATTAATGAATTTAGTGGCATGCTGCATTTTGTCTATTAAACCAAATATTCACAATTTTTTGGCTTATTTCCTAAACATTGTTCTACATAGCTGCAAACAAGTCCAGAATATGGTCAAGGAATGAATCCCATTAGCAGGCTTGCCCAGATACAGCAGGCCAAGAAAGAGAAGGAACCAGAGTACATGCTCATCACAGAACGTGGTCTTCCAAGGCGCAGGGAGTTTGTGATGCAGGTTTGTATGTTGATTTGAGAAATCTAGTTGCATGGCTGTGATGTCTTGTTTTTTTTTGCTTATAGGAATCAGGTTGTCACAATGATATACAAAGTTAACAGAATTATGGCCAAATTCCTGGAATTTATTAAGAAAATATCTAGTGGGCTACATTTGAGGAGGATAAAGGTTCAATAAAGATGATCTGAGTCATGTCTTTTAAAAAATGGCATAGGGCACCAGAAGTCTATGTTGTAACTGCCTAGTGTTTTAATTAACAGGGGTATTAATATTCTGTGAAGAGATACTGAGCTGCTTATATTTTTTAATATAGTATTTATTAACATGAACCTAGGTATCCCTCATTTCCTCCTTCTCCTGAGTTTTTGTTTTTGCTTTAGAGTGCACACTTTCTGCACATAGTACTGCAAATCCCAATAGCATAGCAGTGGTTTTAATACTGAGTATCTACTATGCTCTAATAATTAAGTGCATTTTCCGGACCTCTCGCCTATTCCAGCCAAGACAGTTTCTTTCTTTCCATTACGTTAGTAAATCTTCTAAACCTCTAACTTCAGCTTGGAAAATCTGTATCTGCTGTGTTACCAGTTTCGAGCCTTTAAGCTATTGCCAAGGTGAGATGATGAAATATAGCAGTTTGTGTGACCCCTGTTTGGGGTTTTGTGCTTGGAGGCCAATGATCATTGACAGTAAATGACAACTTGCTTAGAAAAAATGATCACTTGAACTGTTTTGTGACTCATGGAGTGCTTGAGACACAGACCGCTAATAAGTGAATCCTTACACTACTGTTTAAGAATCTATTTGTTTCTTCTTCCTCTTTGCCTAGGTGAAAGTTGGGGTACACACAGCTGAAGGAATGGGCACAAACAAAAAAGTTGCTAAACGCAATGCAGCTGAAAACATGTTGGAACTTTTAGGTTTCAAAATCCCTCAACCTCAGCCTCCAAAGCCAGCATTAAAGACAGAAGAGAAGGTAAGAGTCTGTAAGAATCAACTGCTGTTTAATACTACAGCAAAAGCTGAATTGAAACAACAGCAAGGCAGCAACAGTGTTGTAAATTCATGTCTCCTCCTCTAGCCAGGAAGCAATTGTATTGAGGTGACTGTTCTTTAGAGTAGTGTGTTTTGGATACATTAAGGATTTGATTTTGCAAGTAAATCAAGGCTAAATTAATGTATTTCTTCTTTATAGAATGGCTCAGAATCTGTGATAATTGATATATTGGCCTGAGAAATCTGCAGACATGTAGGTTATAGGACTTTTTGGTAGCAATAGGTTTTATATAGGCTCAGCAGAAATTGCAGTTGAAACCAGTTTGTTACAGTCTCTTCCTTTGGTGGGGGCCCCTAAAGGGGGAGGAGCCTTGTGTGAATCTGTTGATTCAGCAGATCTTACCAGGGGGTTAAAATAGCAACTCTGGGTTTAGTTATATCCTTTTCATGTATATGCTCATTTGTGTCCAGTATGTTGTCCTCAGCAACTCCAGTAACTCGTGTGAGTTTAACTGGTTTTATTATGGTATCTAGTTCTCAGTATCCGTTCTTAATACCACTTCACTGTTCTGTAGATAGTTTTTGTCAGTCAGTGAGAATCACTGAACTTGTCTCTTCTTAGCTGTGTAATAATTGAGGCTTTTTAGTAGATTTTTCAGTAAAATTCTGACTACTCAGATCATCTGCATCTTAAAAACTTTAAAACCTGGGGCAGAGGGATAAAGTTTTAAAGGCATATTGTGTGTTTAGCTTTTTTCTTTTTATTTTAAAGACACCAGTGAAGAAACCAGGTGATGGAAGAAAAGTAACCTTCTTTGAGCCAGGCTCTGAAGAGACTTCAACTAGTAAGTAACCTAACTGAAAGAAGCACAGCCCTGTTGGGGGGTGTGTGTATGTGTAAGATATGGTTCTCAGTCCCTTCAGTAGTGTCACGTGGCAATAAGCAGAGGTGTACAAGAATTAATGTTCAGGACTGAGCTTGGTTCTGATCCAGGGACCAGTCTCGTTCAACCAACGGCAGGAGTTAAGTGGGGGAAATTTCTGTGTAGGGAAAAAGGTAAGGGGAGGAGGTGAGATCAGCTTCTGGCTCAGAAAAGCGTTTGGCAGAAGCTGGAGTTGAATTATTTATTCAATAAGCAAACTCTGTCTTGATGCTGAATCTCTGACCCACCAAAGGCAAATCAAGCTCACTAAGTCTGTTAGTGTTTCAAAAGTAATCAGAAACACATTGTTTTTTTCAGAAGTGGCTTTTGATGCTTTATCTTTGCCCTTGTGTGCCTGCAGAAGGCCTCGCAGAACTGTCTAGCATATGGTTAGTGTGTACCTCTCTTGTCTCAGGTAATAAAGAAGATGAGTTTAGGATGCCTTATCTCAGCCATCAGCAGCTTCCTGCTGGAATTCTTCCCATGGTCCCTGAGGTCGCACAAGCTGTAGGAGCCAATCAAGGACACCACACCAAAGAGTTCAACAGGGCAGCCCCAAATCCTGCCAAGGCCACAGTAACAGCCATGATTGCTAGAGAGCTGTTGTATGGTGGCACTTCTCCTACTGCTGAGACCATACTAAAGAACAACAACTCATCAGGCCATGTACCCCACGGACCACTTACTCGGCCCTCTGAGCAGCTGGACTATCTTTCTAATGTTCAAGGAATCCAGGTAAGTGCTTGGCTTTGCAAGATTTCTTCCAAAGCTACCCAAATTGGTCCAACCTGTTGCTTGTTCTAAAGCTTTTTAGTTCTGCTGGTGGCTGACATATTCTGAAGGCTGCCTGTTAAGCTGAAATTCATATAAATGATTTATTTATGAAATGTACTGAATTTTACAGCTTTTTTATGTAGTTTTCAATGTGCATTTCCTCAGCCTTAATTCAGTGCTATTCTGAAGTCTTGGAAGAATAAAACCAAAACTAGTATTTTGTGATTGTCATGATGTAGGAACAACATAGTATGAACTTGAACGTGGCTGATCTGAAATCGGGTTTGTTTTGAACAATCCTTCTTACATTAACATTTGCTGTAAGCAGTACATTTTCTTCTGTTTGGTCCTTTTAATCAGAATTGCATGTAAGTTCCTATATTGATATGTTAAAGGAGCTCAGTGGATTAAAAAGTGTGGGAAGGAAACCTTTAAATGGCTCTAATAAGAAAAAAGGTGCCAGTAACAATTATTATTAAGTAGCCACTTCTAATCAGACTTGCAGAGCTCTCATGATTTCTAAAAAACATTGCAGGTGAAGACAAACTTCAAAGTTTAGGCTGGCAGAATGATTAGAACTAAGGTTCAGCTTCATATATGGGTAATAATCTGTAGCAGTTGTGATATATTTTCTGTACATAGTTAACTTAAAAGAGCTAAATCTTTCTCTTTTCTTCAGGTTGAATATAAAGACTTTCCAAAAAATAACAAGAATGAGTTTGTATCTCTTATAAACTGTTCCTCTCAGCCACCACTGATCAGCCATGGGATTGGAAAGGATGTAGAGTCTTGCCACGATATGGTATGGTGAATATTGCTGAAATGCCTTTTCTTTGCCCTTCAGTGTGAACTGAGGGATGCAAAAGATAGACTAAGGTTTCATATTACTGCTGCACAGCAGTGAATTAAACACTGTACAATTCCCTGGCTAATTTTTGTCTAATATTTCACAGGTTGCTGAAACAACTGATTAACAGTATCTGAATTGAATCTCTGATTAACAGTATCTGAATTGAATCTAAATAACCTTTGAAATGCTTAACACATGCTCACAATTTTTATCTACTAAAATTGCATTTTCTTTATCTTGATATTATTTGCATGAGCACATGTTAAAGAAAACGTATGGAAAGGAATCTTTAAAATACAAGACCTTATCAGATTTTCTGTGACAGAATGGGCTGATATTTCACTGGGCACTGTAACACCCGGGTTCACATTACCAGACTTTCTGAGAGAATCCAAAATGGAAGAAATGCAGTTCCCCATTAGATAGCAGGAGATGCTCTACATCTGTTAAGCCTCCTTTGTAACAGTAGCAGGTTCTTTTATTTCCATACCCAGGGGTGCCCTGACTACTGACTGTGGACTAAACAGTTTCCAATATGTAAATGCATAGGAGAACCTGGGTTTGCTGACTTTATACTAAAACCATTTGCAGCCATTTTCTAATAGCTATAATTTGGTACAGATTTCTTTCATCTTTGTCACTTAATGTTGACATTTTCCCACCCATCTCTACATCAGACTGTAAAGAGCTCCTGAAAGTGTGAGAACTGCCTTTGTTCAGACACTCAGCATTTTGCTAATGCCCATGCCATAATGCATCAGGCATATTCTGAAAAGGGAAACCTGAAAATGATCAGAAAAAAGGTGACAAAACTTTTCAGTTCTCAGAGGAGGTGACTTACTTTTGCAGTAGCCACATCACATTGACTCTGTTTCAAAGTCCCATGTGCCCTATCAGTTTTGTAGTTTTGATTCTCGTGTAACTTCTTCTGCAAAGAACTTTTTGATTCTGTGTATTTTAATGTCCTTTATCTTAAGCTCTGTACAGTTTTTGAGCCATTACTAAGTTAGCATCTTTTTCCTTGATATTAATAGTACTTAATTTATGATGTTAATAGTAATTATGTATAAATAATAGTAATTAATTTTCCCCATTGCTAAAACAAACACAAAGGAATGCCCTAGCCGCAGCACCATTTGATTGTTTAATGTAGCCAGATGAAACTACACCATTGCATTTTTGTCCAGCGTAATTACGCATCTTAGGAAATACATTACTAAAATCAGTGTATTTACTTTAAGTGAGCCCTGGTCCTTTCACTGTGTTAACAGAAAGGGCTCAGGTTGCATTACTGAGTGCTCTCTCTTTTCTTTAGGCTGCACTGAATATTTTAAAATTGCTGTCTGAGTTGGACCAACAAACCACAGAGATGCCAAGGACGGGAAATGGACCAATGTCTGTGTGAGTGTGACCCATTGACTTTCCCTTGCGTTAACAGAAGCCTCTAACCCCGTGATGTTCTAGAAACAAATAAAATGTGAGGGTTTTTTTTTCCTTTGACAGAAAAGTTAAAATGCCAAAGCCTGTTACCTTCTTCAGAAGGATCAGAGGGTAGGTTTTGTGATCAAGCTTGTTGTTTTTTACCTGTCAAATGCAAATTACTAAGCAGGAGCAAGTGGTTAAAATGTGATGGCTGTGACAGAGCAATTCTGACTGTGATGCCTCTGCTTCAACTATTCATTTACATGTATTTGTAAACAGTGCGACTCCTCAGTGTGTTTAAGTGATACAGCTGCTCTTTCTAGAAATCTGTACACAACATATAAACAATCTATAGTAGGTTTCACAGCTTGTTTTCAGCAGACACGTGGAGGGGTTGCAAATTACTCCCTTTGACCATGGGGAAAGAAAAAGCTTAACCTCCCATTTAGATAACAAACTTTCAAATTAAGTGGAATTAACAAAGTGCTGATTGATTACAAAAGGGAAGTTACCTGGAAACAAATTGTGAGATGCCTCTCAAATTCTTTGTATATGATTTAGAAGCACCTTATTCATGGCAATAGTGCTTTATCTCCTAAGTAACAGGTGTTTTCTCATTTCTAGATGTGTGAAACAAGAAATGGAAAGTGATCCTCTTCTCAAACCGGCTAACTCAAACACTTTGGGACAAACACTGGACAGCACTGCCTAAAAATGGCTTTTGACTGGACCCAAACCTGAAAGCACCAGAGAAAATCAAATGCTTCCTATTAATGTAACCTGTTTTAGAGTGCTACAGTCCTCACAACCTACTGTAGTGTCTAAATCATAACCGTTGCTTTTTCTTCAAACAGTGATAAATTTTTAGTTTCATTATGTTGTTTTGATTGAAATGACACTATAAATTTTTCATTTAAAAGTTTCTTAATTGTATCTAGAACAATAGCACAGTTTAGAAACTTTGTCTTCTGAGACTGACATGTTATCTGTGAACTAACTTGGGAAGATCATATCCATGTATGTGGTTATTTTGTTTTTATTGAAATAGCGAAGTTTCACTGGAAACAAATTGTGTGCCCACCATTTTAAAAAGTCCAGGATTTTCGCATTTAGCTTAATTATTCAACGGTTGAATGAATTAAAACACATTAGGAATTTTAAACTTTGATCATTTTTGGTTAATTTCTAGTTTTCTTGAGTGGGGGGGGGGGGGTCGGGGAACCTGAATGCAACGTGACTTTAAATGATCTCTGATCTGTGTTTTAAGGATTGTGTGTATAGATGGCGCACAGCTCACTGCATTACAGGATATGATCTCAGTGTAGTGCATATAAAACCGCAGATTGATTTTCCTTGAGTGCTTTATACTGTTTAATTACATCTCCATGTAGGGCTGAAAAAAATTACCTATGTTTATATATAAACTGTGTTGCTTTTGATGTTGTGTTATTGCGCACCAAACTGTGCGCAATAAAGTTTTTGCATATGGTCCAGGTAAAGCACGATAGCCTTGCAAGTTAAGTACTGCTTCAGTTCATTGTTTACGCTGGAATTTTTTCTCCCCATGGAATGTAAGTAAAACGTAGTGTTTGTCACCAATAAATGGTAATACTAAATTTTTTTTTTGGTTAATTTATTCTTGTATGCCACTACAGGGGCTGCTTTTTTATAGGATTTGTAATGCTTGTGATATAGTACGGGCAGTATTGTAAAGCTATGGAGTAACTGTATAATGGGTATCAATTACATATAAATAACTACTATTTAGTAATGTGGAGGATGTGAAAACCTGGCAAGGTCAAGGAAATTCAAAAGTAACGTGGGTACGTTTTGTTACTTGTGCCACAGTGTGTTAGTGCAACTGTATTAATGGAAGCTTAAACTAAAGTTACGATTATGACAAGAAACCTGGCACAACAGGTTGGTATGATTTCAAAGTTTAAGTCTCTACTTTTAAGTTTCCTTGTTTGCTTGTAATTTGAGTCACAACCTTGCCTTGCACCTAGTAATTTTTGGAGGGTAGTACTTTCAAAACAGAACTTTCCCTCTAGCAACAGAAACCGGCACCATAGACTTGACACATGACAGTGTATCATTTGGATGTGAACTAGGTTCCCTGTGTGCTTAACTGGTAACATACAGCAGCACCTGTAAACACCTGTCTGCAGTGGGTGTGGTAGTGCCTGTCACAGAAGGCAGTTACTGCACATGCTGTGTCTCAATGCTGAATGTCTCTGCTATTTTATTTGCATTATCGAAAGCAGTTGGGCCACATTAACTGCATACCAAATTTTATTGAATCAGGTTGGTTTTGATCATTATAAGCAGAAAAAGACTCAACATTGTAAAGGTTTTGGGTTCTTTGGTTTTGTTTCATTTTGTTTTTTTCCTTTTTTACATTTGTAGAACTAAAATGCTGTACATTTAAAAATTAAAAGAAACTTGCTAGGCTGAGGCTTTGTATTGCAAATTCTTACAACTTACCAAACTATTTACCAAAATAATTTATACTGGAAAACAGGTACCACATGGATAGCAATGTAAATGGTCTCCTTACCTTTACCTGCTGCTACTTAAGTTTCCTCTCTGAATGGAACTTGAGCCTATTCTTCTGACTGTTTTGCAGCACTCATTTCTTGAGAATGCTGTTTCATATGATCCTGAATTAAGGTACTTTGCTCTGTAGATCCCTCTGTTTCAATACTCTTACATGCATCTGTCATCTTAGAGGTGCTTCATCAGAGAATATTCTTTTGTCATAGGCCTTGTAACCACAGCTGCATTATGGAAGACTTAAGGTCACTGTGTGGATTCTAGGTAAGCCGAAGGGAGTTCTAGATAAAATGTGTTATTTCTACAGCATCACAGCCACTTTCTTTTTCTGTTGTCTGCTTTGTGCTTGATGCAGTAAAGGCTAGGAAGATTATGGTACAATATGTAATCCCCTGAAGGCTTTATATGACACTTTACTTCAACAGATACCAAAATGTTCTACAAAGAATACAAATACGAGAAACCTGAGGTGAAGGTGCAGTTCTCTGACTGCAGCAGTCCAGCCAGCTAGCAGCGATTCCTGAGGAGGCAGGTCACTGAGGGATGGAAGATGTGATGTGGCAGAATGAGACACTGAATTTCACTGCATTTCACTCTTGTTCATAGAATCACAGAATGGTTTGGGCTGGATAGGACCTTAAGATCATCTAGTTCCAGCCCCCTTGCCATGTGCAGGGATGCCTCACACTAGACCACGTCACTCCAGGCTCTGTCCATCCTGGCCTTAAACACTGCCAGGGATTGAGCATTTACCACTTATTTGGGCAACCCATTCCAGTGCCTCACCACCCTCACAGTTAAAGAACTTCCTTACATATAACTTGAAAGGTTCATTTGGACCTTTCTTAATGCCTGCCCATCCTACTTCCCTATGTGGAGAATACAGGCTTAAAGGAAGTAGCTGAGGAGTTTGGAAACCAGATTCTGGAAATAATGACATCCATTTTCCAGCAGCAGCTTGTAAGTAAGATCAGCAGAGACCTGACAGTGTAAGTAATACATTTTCCTCCACCAAAGAAAATGTCCTGTCTGCCTGTACTCCTTCAAATGTCTAGACTTTGACAGACTCCAGTCTTCATGTTAATCTTCTGGTACTGGAAAGAAAGCACTTATGACTGTTCTCTCAGATTTCAAAGCCTTAAGGCAACCTCTAATTCTGTCAGGTTTTGCACTGCTTTCCTTCAAGCCTTTTCTTATTTGCCCAATTACACAGCTGCATGTAATTGTCAGAAGAGTAATGCCATGCCACTGTTCTTTGAAGAGGTGCAGGCAAATATTGGGCTGTAATGCCCTGTATAAGAACCTGAAGAGTGGCTTTGTAGATGGTGCTGCAAATGAAGTCTGTTCCAGTGCTCTGTTACTGAGTTTGAAGACTCCTGCTCAAGTCTCCTATCTGAAGTAACATGCTGCACTCTGAAGCTGGTGTACCAGAAGGAAGGTAGTCCATGTTCATCCAGGGATTTTGGAATATCATCTTTCTTGAACGGGTCAGTTTGCTGTCCTTGAGGCAAACAACTGCATCACATGAAAGTTAAAGGGGAATAATGAAAATTGGTCCAGGAATTTTTTTTAAAGCAGAGTATTTTATTCATTAGTGGAAGTCCTGACTCCCCAGAGGAAGAAACATGACTCTTCATGATCCATCATTCTTGGTTTCAGGATGGAGATCTTGCAGAAAAGAAGGATTTCTCCAAAATTTATTTTGGGGAATGCTGACCTTAGCATAGCTAAAACGTGCCTCAAGAATGTGAATTAGCCTGGATTCACTGTGATACCCATTTGTTCCATAATATATTAAAACACATTCCTGTAATGTTTTGTTGGTTTTGTTTAGGATATAGACAGCTGGTATTTCCTTAGGATAAGTCCTACTTGAATGGATTCAACTAGGGAGTCTGGAACCAGCAGAGGAGTTATTTGTGTTGTCAGTTCTCTGGCCAAATTTTAGTAACATAAAATGTAGCTGTACGTGGAGTTCTGCTGCAATTACTGCATTACTGAAGGATGAAACAAAAATTTCTGTTTTAACCCACTGATCAAAGTTAAAAATTGTTTTATTCTGTCATAATGTATGAAGACAAATGGTGGAGGTTCCAAAAGTGCTTAACTGCAGAAGTGAGAGGGTGTGTAAACCACTTCACTGATCATCTTTCGTGAGGCAACCACATAATTGTTTGCTCTTTTATTTTGAAGGTCTGCAGACAGAAACCAACAGAGTTAAGTGTGAGTTGATATAATACCTTCCTTAAGGGCTTCTATATTTACGTGATTTTATTTAGACTACTTGTTTAAGTTCAGACAAAGGAATGCTGCTTCAGAGGTGGTTACAAATCTGAAAGTACTCAAGTTCATCTCTGTGGCTGTGACATCCCGTATTGCTTCCCTTTAACTGCCAAATGGATATGTACACTTACTTAAAAATCAGGAACTTCTGAGCAAGAACTGAACACCCCATGGAAAGAGGCTGGGGAAAAATAAGTTGTTGGAGCCAATTAAAATCCCTAGGGTATTCATTTAACCTCTGGGTTAGAACTGAGTAAAAGCATACAGATGGTCAATAATACCTAACCAAGAGTGTATTCTATTCTCCAATATAATTCTTTTGTTATACCACTGGCAGTATCCTAATGCAAAAAAAAAAAAAAAAATTTGATTAGCAATGAAAAAATTACGGTGCTTTTAACCTTCAGTCTTTCTCCGACTTCCAATCTCACAGTGTTTTTGGCATCCCTCTAATAGGGGATGTTGTAGATTTTAAGTGTCCCATGTTAATGATGCAGAAAATATTCTTCACAGGGCATGCTCTCAATGCTTTCATCCTCTGCTACCATTCTTTCATTTATCTTTATTATTTCCAATCAGAAGATAGTCTTTAATGTTTAAATGCCTCTTTTTTTTCCCCTGTCCCCCTCAGAAGGGAGATTAGTGCCCCCAAAGAAGGCAATCCCAACCCTGTGTTAAGGGACAAAACCTCTGATGTGTTTTACGTCAAAGCCCAAATGCAAAATCTGTTTGGGGACAGGAGACACTAATTCCTTGTCCCTATTTTATTTTGGGTGCAGTCTCCCAGACTGCTGTTCTCCCATTTTAAAGCCACTACCAGGCACATCACAGCAGGCATATGTATTGTCTGGTTGCTAAGCATTGCTTTCATAGTTGTTTTCACACAGCACTTTGGTTTTAACATTTAGCTCTTGCCTAGAAAAAACAACTGGGAAGGGAAAGCATCACTGGAAAATATAAATCCATCAGTAGTTTGCCATAAACAAAATTCAGTGTAACTGTCCTACAAACTGCCACTGCATTCGCGTAAGTTTGTGAATTCCCTTTAAAGCTTGTTAAGTAGGTAGAGAAGAAGCTTATTAAAATGTTGAGCCACCAAGTTATTTTAATTAATAAAGTGGATAAAAACTTGAAGAAAATGTGCTACTTCAAACTCACAAAGGCTAATTGCATTTAAATAATTGTCTCTTTAAGCATTCTAGCAATAACTCTGTTGTGCTTTCTCTTGTACTGTACTGACTTCAAAGCTAAGTGGTGTTTTCAGTGAGTGTTTTAACTTCTTGTATTTCCATCTGCTAAAGCACTGATGTAGAAATTACAGCTGATTTTGTTTAAAAGAGAAAAAAGGTTATTTAAGAGCTTTTTCTGTCTAACCCCTCCCCATTCTGCTGGTCCATTATTGTATGCAGACAGGGAAGATGTACCTAGATTAAAGTGATACTTGAACTGGGTCAAATGCAGATGTCTTGTCATTCATCAGTCAGCTAGATATGACTATTGGTTTTAGTGGCCTTCTGCCACATGCTGAATGTGGTGTTTGTGTTTAGTCTGGACATTAAACAAAGCTAGTCCCCCTTCAAAAAAGCACATGACCAGTGTTCAAACTGTTATATTGTGCGCAGGCTTGCACATATTGCATCTCCACACACTTAAGCCCACAGTCCTCTGGTCCACCCAGTAAGGGAATGGACCAAAAGTGTTTCCAAATTCCTTGTAAATGCTGACATTACTTCCCAGTTTCTTGTCTACCAGTATTTTTTGTTGGCCTTTTCTTTTGAAAAACTGTTTTAGCCTTTAGCTGTGTGGCATGTTCACTCCTCCATTTCTACTACTGGTTTTACTTTATGGAGGCTTTCTCTCTTCCCCTCCTCTTCTCTCCATGAACTCCTACTGTTACTAGAAGACTAACATCTGTTAAAGCAGGCTTTAAGATGATCTGATTTGTGATGGGCAGATTCCTGCACCTGTGAGGTGTATGAAGTATCTTTCCTCTCCCTAGAGAGAAACACGTTTCGACAGAATGTTCTATGAGGTGTTCTTCCAAACTCAGGAAACAGAGCAAGCTGTACCCGCCATCATGGCTGTGTGAAGTTCTGTGCTCCTCACCCGAGTACCCTGGAGTGTTATCCTCAGTGCAAAAAAACGTTGAAAGACAGCTCCAAGTACTGCTCTGTGAACAGGATAGCTTCTTAGATGTGTTCTCTTCATCTTGAGCTGCTTACCTTGACACACTCTGATCCCAAGAAGCCACTAGCAAGGCATGTGGTGCCTTTCTGATCATAGCTAGTAACACACTGTTCAGATGAACTAAACTGCTGTTTACCTCTGGAACCAAAGTGTTTCCATCTGTTTTAAACTGAAAAGTCTTGTGTTTTGAGTTCTTGCATGTGTTCTTTCAACATGCTGCAGTTGAAACTTGTCCCATGTAAATGAACTAAAACCACTTGGTTATTTTTGCAAGATAAAGAAGGATATAAACATTTCTAAAGTAACTTTTAAGTAGTACCCTATTAGTCTACCATTTCTTTTGTCTTTTGCACCATCTCTTTCTGACAGAGCAGTGTCTTTCATCAATGCCTATGTAAAATTCATTTGCTAATAATCAGAGAGTAATCTGT